AGTTTCTTATCCATCGAGTGGTCCGCCCATCAAATCCACATCCCTCCAGTTTGGAGATAAGGATGTGGTGGAGGACTGTGTCAGAGGCCTTGCTCAAGTCCAGGTAAATGACATCGGTCGCCTTTCCCTTGCCCACCGATGTCGTCACTCCATCATAGAAGGCCACCAGATTGGTCAAGCATGACCTTCCTCTGGTGAAGCCGTGCTGGCTGTCACGGATCACACGCCCTTTCCTCATGTGGTCAAGCATGTCATACAGGATGATCTGTTCCATGATCTTCCCAGGCACAGAGGTGAGACTCACTGGCCTGTAGTTCCCGGGGTCGGAACCCCCAGATCCCTTTCTGTGGGGCTGCTCTCCAGCCTCCTGTTCCCCATTCTGTACATATATATATGCAGGGCTGCTCCATCCCAGGTGCAGAATTCAGTGCTTTCTCTTGTTACAGTTAGCGCTGGTAACTGGTTGGTGATTGCCCAGCCTCCTAACTTGTCAACACCTCTCTTTAAGGTCTCTCTGCCCTCAAGGAAGTTAACAGCTCTTCCTAATTTAGTATCATATGCAAACTTACTTAGTATGCATACAAGTGCTGCACCCAGATAATTTTCAGAAACACTGGAAAAAACTGGCCGTAGATTGGAGCCCTGTGAAACCCCAGTAGTGACTGGCCACCAGCCTGATGTAACTCCATTACTCCCATAACCTTTTGATCCCAACCTGCCTGTCAATTGTTTACCATTTGCATTATGTTTTTGTCTAGCCAGACATTTTGTCTAGAACATGATAACATGATAAAGCTTACTGAAAGCCTTGCTGAAATCCAGAAATATCAGATCAACTGGATTCTCTTGATTCTTAGCAATTAGTACAATAACCAATTAGGCTTAATGTGTTGAAAAAAATTATTTTTTCACAAGAACTTCAGCCTGAGGTACATTACTTGAAGGGCTCAGGCTGCCAATACAAAGAATTTCAAAAAATGCTACAGTGGACAATCTTCTAACTCAACAAGCATTACATTCAAGGCATAACAATCTCAACTAGATCCCATGCCAGCAGGTAAAGAAGAAACGATTATGGAGGTAAAAATTAGCATTAGTTAGCATCAGCTTGTGCACAGCTGTGTGCAACATCCGTTATTTTCAAATGGAATGAAATATAAATGAGCAACTTGAAAAGGATAGGTTTTATATAGCTAAAAGCAATTGTGAACCAAAGTACTTTGTGAACTGGAAGTGAAATAATTAAAACAAAAGTGAATGATGATTGTACTTGCTTTAAATCTTGCTTTACCAGATTCCTCCAGAAAAAAACCTACAGACATCATCTAAAAAGAATACCAGAATAGTTTAAAAAGGAACAGAAATTGAAATAATAGGCTGTAAGATTTGAATAATGAAAGGAAAATTCACATTATTTACTGAAATTGAAAATATGTGGATTTTGAAACACTGAAATGAAAAGACACAGGCCAAGCTGCATAGCCAACAAAATAAAGGACAGTATGTTATTTAAGGGGTGTTTGAAACAAAAACCATTCTAACAATATATTGTTAATTACTAGGTAGAAATAGTAAAATTGTCCATCTTTATGCAGAAAAGTAAAAATATTAAGTATACTCAGATGTGAATTTTTGGAAATAAAGCTACAGATGATACTGTTAGAATGAAGAGTTTCATCAGTTGAGAAGTAGGTCACACAGTATCTACTGAAGAAACAGCAGTAACTCCAGATCTGTTGCAGCCAAGAGCTGTAAAAAGATCTGGCTGAATAACACTTTGGATGCTTAGTATCATTTTTTGTTACCTCCTGGAACTCCATGGAAGTCCCAAAACACTGAGGAGTTTCCATCCCCAGAGCCTACACACACAGTGTTTGAAAAGTATAATGAGTTCACTGCAAGCCTGTCAGCTTGACATTAATCTGCATTCAAACAGCCAAATAGATAAATGTGGACTTTGATTTAGGGAAAATCAAAGAAAGAAAAATATTCAAGTTTACATTATGAAAAAATAGGTCCTGGATAAGCAAATAAGAATCTTTTTAATCGATTATGAAGCTGGTTCATAATGCTCAGGGAATTCAGTAGGGCATCAGTCTGGATATTCATTTTGATTAAGAAAAGAGACTACAGAATGAACATAAATAGATTAACATTGGCTAGAGAGGTCTTCAGGATAAACTGTAAATGGGGAATATCAAGTGGCTTCTTTCTAAGAATGTGCCTTGCTCTCTACTGCTTAAAATTTTAATGAACAATACTAAAAAATATATAAAATAATCACTAATGAAGTTTATAGGTTACTTTATTGTTGAGAGAATGATAAATAAAAATATAGCTCTGCTGATATAAGGAAACACAAATCTTTTTGGAAGCTGAGTAAAAACAAACTGTAAGTATTTTAAAATAGCTAGAAGAAAAATTACATGATTTAGAAACAAAGAATGAAGGCTAAAAACAGGCTTATGTTCATGGTATATAACTAGCTGAACATGAGCTTTAGGAGAATCTCATGGACTAGCACTATTTTTGATCATAAAAGAAGGGTAGATTCAAATAAGAATTAGGTGGGTAACAGTTGTTACAGAATGTTGTAACAGAATGCTGGACCCTGCTGTATGCTGTATTAGAGGACTCTGTACTATGTTCCCAGGTTGTGGCATCACTGCAACAATGCTGATAAATAGAAGCTTTAGGAGAGTAAGAAGAGATTTATGAAAAAACTGGATAACACATAAAGAGCCTGAAGGAATTTCATCTTCTTATTGTTTACTAAAGCCATGTGAAGAGGCTAAGCTAATCAGTTAAATTATGTTCTACGTGAGTAGACACAGAACTCCAACTCATCACAGTCAAATGAGGCAAAATCCTATGCTCAAGATTAAATCGTGGCAGTCTAAAAATGAAGTTCACATTTTAAAATGCACATTCTGACCTTAAAATTGATTGATTTTCTGAAATACATTTTTAATTCAAACAATAACTTATAATAATCTTGTGACCTACAGAGGACAATATTCCACTCTGACCAGCATGAATCAGTGAATAATTTCCTAATAGAAGGGAAATTATATTTCCTCTTTTATTGACAAGCAACTTACGTCGGCATGTTTTCCCATCTTGCCTCAGTACAAATCCGTCATGGCATTGGCAAGTATATGAGTCATCAGTATTAACACAAAGATGTTCACAGCCATGATTGACTGATTTGCAGATGTCCTTACCTAGGAATAATTTAGATTTTATTTACTACAGTTTAATAATTGAGAACATTTCAAAAACTGTAGAGACTAAACTATTACATTCCTATTAAAGAATCCATCCTCCTTTTTGTCACATAAAATCACAAATAGGAAGACCTATTCCTAACACAACATGCTTCCTCAGTGACTTCAGAGTGAGAAAATTACAGTAACACCAATAACTTACTTTTACATGTTTTCTCATCTTCCCTCAATACAAAACCCTCATAACACTGGCAAATGTATGAATTATCAGTGTTCACACAAACATGCTCACAGCCGTGGTCAACAGAATTGCAAACGTCTTTATCTGGAAAAAAATAAGAGTGCCAGTATTTAAACCATGTCTACAAATGCCCAGATTATAAAGGAAATCTTCTGCTAAAGATAAGTATACTTACTTCTACACGTTTTTCCATCTTGTCTTAATGCAAATCCCTCATAACACCGGCAGACATACGACTCATCAGTATTAACACAAACATGTTCACAGCCATGGTCAACTGAACTGCAAATGTCTTTATCTGAGAACAGTTGATGGTTTTTGGTTAAAGCACATCTTCAATGTATATATTATGCAAGGAGAAGTAATAGTTTTTATTAGGTTCACTGACATAATTCAAAGAAATGGACAAAAATTTAGGCAGAAAACACTTCTAGTTCTTGGTACCTGAAGAATTGTAGGTGTTGTTTTTTGTTTGTCTTTAGTCATACCAGTTTGACTACTAAAGTATACTATTACTGTTCACTGAGTCTCTTACAAGCTTCTAGCAGGTATAACAATATTAATTCCATAATTTATGAGTAAGTTACGGAAGTATTACGGTGTTAAGTGTTATAGTTAAAAGAATTCCACAAATCTACATACTATAGATAAAAGTCTATCCAGAATACTTACTTCTGCATGTTTTCCCATCTTCTCTCAATAGGAAACCTTCATGACACTCACAAGCATAAGAGTCATCCTTGTTAACACAAATATGCTCACAACCATGGCTGATTGATTTGCAGATGTCCTGTCCTGGGAATTAGTCAGATATAGATACAGTTTGAAATGATAACGTGTTAAAAAGGATCAAAAGGATGTTTTCTAGTGAGAAATGAAGAAGTGATAAATTCCTTTCCTTCCTTGCCTAATGCACGTGCAAAAATGTTCTAAATATATATGGGTTACTCACTTCTGCATGTTTTCCCATCATCTCTCAATATGAAACCTTCACGGCACTTGCAGATGTAAGAATTGTCAGTACTAACACAAACATGCTCACAGCCATGGTTGACTGATTTGCAGACATTTTTACCTGAGAATAAATTAACAGATAAAGAACTGTTAGTTAAGGGCAAGATGTTTTGTCTTACAGCTTCCAGTTACTGAATATTCTTGTCCTTGTTGGTATTCTGGACTCAATTCAGCAAATCATTTGCAGCACTTACGGTAAGTTTTTATTGTAACAAAGAGCCAAATCTTTGTTCTACAATTTTTACAACCTTATTATTAAGGAAAAGTGCACTGCTTTGGTTTCAGAGTTTGTATAACTTAATGTATCCCCATCATGCAGGTTAATGTCCTGCAGGGATTTCCAAAAGCATTTAAATTCCACATCCACATTTCAAGTAAAATTCCTGTTGAAACACAGATCTTTCCATCACCATAATGTTATCTTCAATAATAAACTTGTCCAACCCTGAAACAGTTAAGCTTTCTTTCCTTGGAGTTCAGATGGTATTTGTAATTTTTCTGTACACCAAAATTACAAAAGCTCAGCATATGTTGTGCTTAAATGTAATGAGTAACAAATTGTATGATCCTGCTGTAGACTTCTGGAAAACTGTCAGCTGTAACTGGTTGAGCAAATGTTACGTGAACTTTTCTGACATGTAATTTAGTTACAATTTATATTTCAAAATAAAAAAAAAAATTACATCTACTTATTAATATTGGATAAACTAAACTTTCACTTTCTTCCCCACATTGTTTTTGCACAACGGCTGCTGCACGGACACAAATTTTCACTTGCTTTTGCAATATCAAACTGTAACATCTTTTTGAGACAAGCAGAACTTATCTCTGTTCACGTGGACTAACAAAGTAGGGTGCTGATGTGATATATGATGTGATATATGTAATACAAAGCTAAATGCAGTACAAAACTGATAATACAGAACTTTTCTTTGTCACCTCAGTGTCTGGATTACTTAATTTTTTTTTAATTCTTTTAAATGTTATTTAACAGAAGATGCTGATGGAAATCTTGGATATGATTGGCATTATAGAATACTTTATGCCTGTGTTTTCCAAAGACTTGTCCACAGTTCTTCTCTGATAACTTAGCGTGCACTCCAATACCAGGGAAATTTTTTTATACATCTGTCATTCATCATAACTACAAAATGTAGCCAAATGTATAATACAGTTATGATATCTATTTTGCAATCAACCTTATCTCACACTGGGCAAAGGAATGAATATTCCATTAGTACTGAAGGCTCCTTTTTGCTATATAAGTCTTTAGAAATGCTACATATTTTTGTCTTGATTTGAGAAGAAATCTATAGTTGTCTGATATAAGAATGTAAGTTGGAATACAATTATTTTGGATCCACACCAGACACAGTTAATTTTATACATTCCAGATGTTTAGGGAGTGACTCAGGTGCCTAGAAGTATGCACTCAGTGCCACTTCAGATACCCTCAAGCATCCAAGATATCAACATACTGCTGGCAAACGTGATACCAAAGAGAAAATTGTGAGCTTCTGGAATCCTAGAGCATGGAAAATGTCACTGGAAAACAACACTTAAGCAATCAAATCCTCCTCACAGACTTATTTTCTTTACATGCAATAAAAATCTAATATTGACTTGCTGAATAACTTACGTTTACATGTTTTCCCATCATTCCGAAGCCTGTATCCTTCAAAACACTGACAAGTGTAAGATTTGTCACCATTTATACACAAATGTTCACAGCCATGATCACTCAAAGCACAATAGTCAACTCCTGCAGGAGCAATTGAAGTTATTGAAATAATTAACAATTAAACCATCATTTCTGGTATTTGCATGGCATATAAGCAACAATTCCGTCCTTTATCTGATAATATGCATATATATACCTTGGAATAAATTTAAGAGGGCCCTGTGGTATACTTTGCATTAATTACAGTAAGTGGAGTTGAGAATGTGTAGCATAGCTCAACAGAATCTGGGTTTCAGTGCTCACAGACTGAATTACAAAAACCTGACACTTTAACAATGTTTTTATAAAAGACAGCGGCAATGACAGAATAGGTACCTTGTGAACCTTCTTCAAAGATGTCTCTAAATGATCTGATGTAAACATGGCAGGCAGAAAATCCCTCTGGGACCTCAGAGATATTTGGCTTAGGCTAATCAAGCTTTTGCCAAGAATTGCAAACAACAAGAGTTATCAAATATGGTCCATTTTTTCTTCTCAAATTTCCTAAGGGTTTCTTATTTGTAGTACCAAGACACAATACTCCCACAGTGACTACTTTTTATAGGCTACAAACACAATCTCACACTTTTCTTCTTCTTTCGTTGTCAGAGATGAGATCTGTTTACCACTCAGGTGTTCTCCCAGCTGTCTTAAGATACCTGTGCAACTATGTATGACACCAATGTTGTGATTCCCAGATATTTTCCTTTTAGGAGTGGTAAATGCTAAATGCTAATCCCTTCCACTCAGCTGCTCATTCAGGGTACCACAAAGTGCCGAAAAAGCCTTTCATGATAGCCTAAAAAAAAATGAGGTTTCAGCAACTCATCTGGAGCTCAGCAATAAGACATCCTATATCTAAATAAATATGAGGAGAGGGATGCATGGGCAAGAAGAACCATTCAAAAGGTCTCCACTGTATTGCATGGAGGGATTGTAGAAGCCACAGCATGGCTTTAATGCTGCTGATGGGTCTGCAATTACAGTCTGGAGGAAAATGACTGTATGGAAAAAAAAAACCACAAAAAAAAAAAAAAAAAAAACAACCCACGCCTATTTTTACTACAAAGGAAAAACAGATTTCCCATTCACAAGTTCTTAAAAATACAGTTAGTCTATTTATGATTTTTCAGCAGTTCTTTTAGATTTCTTTTAGATAGTATTTGAATTATTTCTAGTAGATCCCAATCCCCTTATATATACATTACAATATGTACATTACTATCTGCCCCTTTTTAGAGTGTCCAGTGACAAAAGCAAAATCTGCCAAGAGATTGGGTGGGAATAAAAAATGTAGTACAGAGCCAAAGACGAGGCTAAAGACAAAGGCAAATTGCATTTGCTGATTTGCTTCACTCTTTGTGAAATCATTATTTTGTCAACCTGATTTCTGTTAAAACTGTGTTGCCCTAGTGCAAGTGAAGGAACAAGCTCTGCAGCTGCTCCAAAGCTCAACAAGCCTGAAAAAATATCATACCTCCACAATCTATAGAAAAGGTGGCCAAAACTTTCTCATGAAAGAGAATTGGTCCAGGAAAAACAAACAGGCAAAATACATTCACATTCCTCTTTTTTTGGCCATCTCTATGTATTATTTTTTCCAGTGATGGAGGTAATCTTTGAAACCACAATGATTCTCAATGATCATTTGATTTATAAAGGGTGGAGAGCAGGACAACTTTCATTCACTTATTAAGGGCTCACATGCAAGCTGTAAAGCTGTATAGGACTCACACTTCTGCCTCAGACCAGACAATGCATTTTGCCTGGGGGATGCTGCCATAAAGATGACTTGTCATTCTGATACATCTGCCACATGACTGAAAAACTGTCCTCAGCACCTGGGATGAACAGATCTCCCAAAACTTTTCTGAAAACACTAGGATTTACAGCCATATTGACAAGTGTCCTTTCCTTAGTCCTTTTTCTCTCTGCCCTTGTTTTCAAAACATTATTAAGGTATTTCTGAAATGTAGTCTGTGGTAATTAATTGAAAAATAGAAATCACAGAATTTTTGGTTGGAAGGGATCAAAATACCATCTAGCTCCAAATCCACCTTCCAACTAGGCCCTGAACACATCGAGGAATGGGGCATCCAAAGCTTTTTTGGGCAACCTGTTCCAGCGCCTCACCACAGTCACGGTAAAGAATTTCTTCCTTACATTCAATCTAAACCTATTCTCTTTCAGTTTAAAATCATTACCCCTTGTTCTGTCACTACACTCCATGAGACTCCCTCTCCAGCGTTCTGTAGGCCCCCTTTAAGTACAGGAAGGCACTGTAAATGCCTTCCCCAGAACTTCCTCTTCTGAACATCCCCAAACTCAGTCTGTCTTAATAGAAGAGGTGCTCCGGCCAGGGGATCATTCTCATGACCCCCCTCTGAACCTGCTCCGGTCTACGTCTCTCTCGTGCTGGTGGCCCTAGAGCTGAGTGCAGTACTGCAATAGGATCCTGCAGGAGTGAAGCAGAGAAAATCTCATATTGAGCTTTTCATCCACCTGTACCTCTAGCTCCTTCTCCTCAGAGCTTCTCTCTATCCAGTCATGGTCCAGCCTATATTCATGTTTGGGATTGTCCTGATGCAGGATCAGGACCTTGTGCTTGACCTCACTGAGCTTCAGGTTTGCACAGGCCCACCTCAGGAGCCTGTCCATGCCCCTCTAGATGGCATCCCTTCCCTCACCCTGCAGGTGTGTCCTCTCCCCTGTGTGAAAACAGAAATCTTTCCCATGTGGGCTGAGATCTAGCATGTTCTCAGATGACTTACGTGTGCAGGTTCGTAGGTCCTCATTGATGACAAATCCTTCAGAGCACTGACAGACGTAGGAGTCATCAGTATTTAGGCACAGTTGCTCACAACCATGATTGCTTTCTGCACAGTGGTCCACTCCTATTATTTGTGTTAATAATTGAAGAAAGCACATTTTTTTTTTTAGATACATACACTACAAAACTGTAGCTCATGCACAATGCCCTTACAGAGCAAGGGAAAAAGATCAGTATATATTTTTTTATTTATGCAGTATCCCCATCTATGAGAGCAAACGGAGTTAATTAACAACACCTAAGTGAAACGAATACAGCATCTCCACAAAGCAAACAACAAACTTGATAACGCACAGACTTCCCTTACCAAACTAACACAAAGTAGAGAGTCTCAAGGCCCTGCCTGGTATTACCCACAGGATCACACTTTCCTTCTTTAAAAGACAAGACTCTCTTTATTCACCATAAAATTGTCTGAGAGAGAAAGAAAGGGAGTGTATTAACATATACCATTTATTTGTTTTTCCTATTTTTATTCTGATTCTGAGATAAAATCGAATATTTTTTGAATCTTATATGAAACCAGTTCACAGAACAGACAGCAGAGCTGTAGGCTGAGATACGTGCACTTGCAAATGTACCACGTAATCTGCTGACTCTGTAAGTAGAGAAAAAGCACATTTTAGGAAAAAAAAAACTTTACACCAAACTTTCTCATAACATTTTATTCCTGACTTGTTAATGACTATTTCTAGTTGTATAGGCTCAAATCACTTTAGCTTAACTTGGTTAAATGTAGCAGAGTTCCTTCAGGCATGAACAATCTCATATGTTTCTATTTCCAAATCATTCACAGATGTGACCAGGCACGTCTGTAGCTGTCTACATAAAAAACAACAACAAAAAGCAACAAACCTACACTTAATGTCAATTAACTTAGTTTTAAATATAGACATTTATTTGTTTATTTAGCTAGGCAATGATGTTGCAGGACTCCAAGGAGTCAGTCCAGATTTCCCATTATACATAAATAGAGATAACATTGGCTTAAACAAGTGAAGCTGGGGTGTAAGTTCTTACTAGTTTAAGCAAGTTCCAGCTGGAACATTCTCCTTATTCCAAGGACTTACATCATCATGAAGAGGCTTGTGTAACTTCTTGGATCACATAAAAAATGTCCAAAAAAAAAGAGCCGTCTGGCACCATCTTTTACAATACAAACACCTACACTAATGTGAATTTTAACATTTAAATACTTTGGTTTCTTATGCAGAATCTTTTGACACATGCTTTCAAGAAAGCTGCCTATTTGCAGATTTTAGAAAATAGTATAAATGTACATTTGTTCATCACGTATGTTGCATTACATTTTTTTTCTTTTTTCAACAACTGTAAGGAGGATGGTAAGGGGAAGGGAGAGGAGAAAGGTCTATATTAAAAAAAAAAGACAACTAATGTCTTGTGATATATTTATTTTTAGATATTCAACTTGTGATTGCTTAAAAACAACTTGTGATTGCTAATTCTTAAGATGTTTTGAGCTCTTGCAAGACATCCAAGTTTCTTTAAATATAGCCTTATCACAAACAGTTCATTTAAAAATATTACTCCCTGGCCTATAAACTGTTTTTAACTTAATTGACAGCATTCATTTGGCAATATATGTCAATAGTACATTCGGCAAAAATGCTACTGATATTTTAGCTGATATGCAAAATAGCTCTCTGAAAAAAAAAATATTTTCTGAAAAGTAGGTGACAGCAAGTGGGCAGTGGTGTTGGAGTTCTCTGGCGCAGTGCTGGTCCCTTAGTAACATTCTTATTAATAGAGGACATTTTATCAAACAGACTGATGAAAGTGTAAACATATGTAAGAAAGAAGTTTCTCTCTAACATATGTTAGTTAAAACTAACATATGTTAGAGAGAAACTTCTTTCTTACTGTGTGTTGCAGTTTAAGCAGCATGTAGCAATGACACTGACATTTAGAGTAAGCTCTCCCTTTGTGTTAGACACCATGGCTGAACAACTTTTCCTGTTTATTAGGACTGGAGAAGATGACACCTTAGCTCCATGTTAAATCTGGGATCTTACTATAGCATTACTTCACTAGAGCTCGCTTGTGGCTGACTTTACAGAAACACAGGTTTGCATAACTCAGAAAGATCTCAGAAAAGACTCAGGGGCATTTTCTCATTCTATTCACACCTCACCCCACTGCAATAACCAGCTGCTGCAGTTCATGAGATGCTCACTTCTACATGTATTGCAATCACATCGTGGGACATACCCAAGATGACATCTGCACATAAATGACTCTCCTGAATTAACACATTCATGTTCACAATCATGCTGACCTAACTCACAGATATTTACACAAAGAGAGAAAATCAGTTAAGAATTCAAACCAGCCAGGAAGGTTTCTGAAATACAACAGCTTGGAAAGACTCACTTTCCTTAAATGGTACCAGATTCTATGATCTGCACAACTTTTAAAGCTGTGTACATCTGATAGTGACTTGAGGATCTAAGACCTGTCTGTGAATACTTGGCTAGGCAAGACTTTACGCTCCTGCTCCAGCAGTCATTAGAATCGATGCCCTCTGGTGGAGGAGGAATGCCTGGTAATACATAATGTTTTTTTTTCCTGATCTTATGAAGAGGGCAAAAGATTGACAGCCAAATTCAAAAAACCCTAAAGTTAAGGAAAAGTAAAGTACCCCAGTTTGTCTTTAATTCTCAATTAAATCCTAGGCAATAAGTATTTGAGATGATACAGTGCTTTTGCTCCTATGTTCACCAAGGCACATCAATTCTGTAAAAGTCTGGATGTATTGAAACGCCATATAAATATTAAAAGCAAGAATAGCATGGATTGCTGTACAAACAGCACTGTATCGACAATCATAGAATCCCAGAATCACAGAGTGTCTTGAAAAGACCCTGCTGTTTAAAACCTGCTGTGTGTAGGGTTACCAACCACCAGACCAGGCTGCCCTGAGCCACATCCAGCCTGGCCAGGGATGGGGCATCCTCAACCTCCTTGGGCAACCTGTTCCAGTGCGTCACCACTCTCTCCTTAGAATGCTTCTTAGAGATGCTTCTTAGAAAGCATCTCTAAGACTGAAACAAAACAGTTTCAAAAATACATACACATTATAAGAGTCAAGAGATATAACTGTATTGCTATAAGCAAGCTTCCTATTCATAGAATATCAGCAGTAAAATACCCCCCCCTTCCTCAGCCCCCTAAGACTGAGTCACCAGATCAAGCTAGTTCTTTATTGACACCATTAAACTGAAAACCTGGGGACTGAGCAGGGACTCTGAATCCCTGCTCAGAAAGAGCTGTAACACAAAAAGTATTTGTGAAGTAAATAATATGTATAATTGGTTTATATCCCAACATTACTGAGGCTGTTTATACAGTTTGAAGGAAACTGTATGGAGTTTCATATTTGATTTTAAGTTGCTTTTCATAATTACATTACAATCTATTACTTACTCACAGCTAATGAGGTAAATCTGTTCTTGGCTAAAACAACTCAGGAAAGCAAGATGAAATTAAAAAATAACACCAAAAACTAAAGAAAACTGTTTATGTCAAGACAAAACATAACAAAGTTTTAAAAAGAGTAATAAACTTCTTGGTCTTGAGCTGATATTGGTTCCTTTATTACTCCTCAGGTTTTACTCAATCTCTTCAAAAATGTTTAATACACAACCTATTCTACAAAACAGCAAACTGGGTGTCTTTCCAATATGAATGGCTCAAAGAAAGATTTGTTTCAACCTTTATTATAGAGAAAACTTTCACCCTTTCAGAAAGGAGAGCATTCACATAAGGTTTAAGAAATGAAAGCAGATGAACTTCGTTATGTCCAAAAGATTACTCACTTTTGCATGTTCTCTTATCTGGATTAAGTCTAAACCCTTCTTGGCATCGACAAAAATAGGAATCATCTGTATTAACACATTCCTGTTCACAGCCATGGTCCTGAAGAGCACAGTAGTCTGGTCCTGAGTGAGAAGAACCTAGGTCATTGATAAATATAATTTCCCAGAAGTAGGCTTGGTAAAAGCCATTTACCTAATTTTTTTTTTCTTTAGGTATTTTTTTTCCATATGCACCATTTGTAACTTTTAACGTACTGTTTCAAATTGTGAAAATAACATGTTCACCATCTAAAATGTCTGCTGTACTTGGGTATACCAGATATATATACTTAAATGAATTATTGAAAAACACATGCACTATATGCGGTACAGAAATAAGAAAATTAAATATTTCTTAATGTTTCGTGGCTCAGTCCTATACACTATCTCATCAGAACTGCCTTTTTATTTTACTCAGGAAGTTTGATATGATCTGCTACGTACTTGCATATTATTATTGCCAGAGATTAATTAGCTTCCTGAAGAAGGAACTGTTCTTTTCTTGTATGTGTGGCAATCTAACACAATTGAGCCTTTACATGTGTTGAAAGCATTCACCAATAATAAACCAAGCAGTAGCAGTGCCAGAAATCCTCTTGTTAATTCAGTAGCTAGGAATTACCTCTGCCTTCCTCACCAATAATCTCAGTTTACCGCTCTCTTCACACACATAGCATACTGCCAGTGTTGGCAGGATTCCCCTAATGAGCTGTGCTCCTTTTATTTCATTCTGAAAAAACTGGAGTAAACCTCAGAAAAAATTTGTAAGACACGCATGACCGTGTGATAACATTTACATTTTCAAACTTTTCTTTGTAGCTATGAGCACTGAAGCTTACTTTCAATTTTTGAAAGAAAAAACATGATTCTAAGAAAATTACAAGGTCTTGGGAGCTGCAGCTATTGGCCCTGGCCTGCTTTCTGATACTGTGATCTGGTCTACCAATGGTGTGAGTCTTGGCTAGCTGGTGATCACCTCTGAGATTCAGAACTTAAGTCACATATATAGAAACGTACACAGAAAAGTTTTAAATTTACAAACATGTTAAATCCAGTGATCTGAAGTTTGCTCATTCATGTTGTTTATGCAAACTCATAGGTAGAGTGACTCATAGCATACGGGAACTAGAACACATTTTTGTTCTGAAGAGCTCTCATGCTGTCCTGACTTTTGCAGCATTAGGAGTTACCCAGTTATTTATGGTTTATTTAATTAGCAAAGCATGGAACATATCAAGTGTAAGGAAAAGTGGCTTACTAAATGTTAGTTGTATTTATGCTTAGATTCAGGATACACATTTTAAACAAGAATGATTACACATATTTGCACATTCCTCTCTGACTACTGCTTCTGAATCAAACTCTATGGCCTACTACATCCAGCTACTTTGACTCTTCCTTAGTTGCAACCTGATGGAATTTTCTCCCTTATAATTTAAAGTATTTATAACAAAAGAGATGGTAGTTAATATGGCAGCTGAATTCTGAGATGCAAAAGTGTGAGAAGCCTTGTCTGCAGCCTCTAACCCTTGTCCGGGAGCTACATTTAATGTTAGGCTCTTGCCCATTCTTCCTCGAGCTATGTTATTAGCATGCCTGTGCATGCAAGGGCCTTGCATAGCTTATCCTGACCTACAGACTGGCTGACTTGATTTTCTGGATTGGCCTTGGACATCTCTTAACACTATGGACTTGGCTGGTAGTCACTGAACTGTTGACTGAACCTGGGTACTGTCATAAGACCTGTTCAGTTCTTATTTCGGCACTGTGGGACTTGAAAGACCTGTCAGAGAGATTACTGACTCTGCTTGCCTTACAGTCATCCTTGGATCTCAATTTACATTCCTCTGTGTAGCAGTGCACTTTCAACAAAAGATCTCCTCCATTCCATACACACCCAACATAAAACCACAGATGTGCCCAGATTGTTTCTAGTCAAGTACAGATGGGAATTAAGAACGCAGTGGTGGAGTCTTTCAGCCCATCTGACTAAAAGGATGTAGGAGATCAGTTTTTTCAAAAAATAGTTAGCAGAAGGCTCCAATTTGCAGGCTTTTGTTCAGGTTGGAAATTTCAACCATCCAAACACCTATGGGGCATCTAAGATAGCACTGTACAGACAACTCAGAATGTTCCTGCACAGGCATGGGGACAATTCCCTAACATAAATTCTGGATGGCTAACATTCTACTTAGTGCTATGACCATGAGATGACTAAGCTCATAATCCAGAACGATGGGAGAAGAAACAACAGAATTTGGACTCTGAATTTTACAAGCTCATATTTCAGCTTATTCAGGGAATTGCTAAGAAGAATCCTCTGGGAAAGAGCCATGAAGAGAAAAGGAGCCCAGGAGAGCCAGATGAGTTTTAAAGAAAACGTACTAAGAAGTCAGGAACAAATGATTCTTTTATGCTGGAAAATCTGCTTAGCTAATTAAGGGACTTCTCAATAAACTAAAATACAAAAAGGGAGAATAGCAGAAGGAGAAAGAGGGAAGAAAAACAAAGCCCAGCTGGACATATCACTACTGAGGTACACAAAGGGTAGTATGACGGGAGTCTACAAATACTCTAGCAGAAATAAGGAAGTCAGAGAAAACATGGTTCTGTTGGTGGCTAAGGGAACAACCTGACAAGCAATACAGAAAGAGGAAAAAAAAAAAAACAAACTACAAACCTCTTTAATTTCTGATTCTCACAGGCAAAGCCTACTCCCAGACTTCCATGTGTACTGGCACAGAGGGGTAAGCCACACAGTTTAAAGTCTACTTAGAACAGGTGGGTCCACTGTTGGGGAGTGGTGGAAAAGACAACTGATCTGATTATGAGGTCAGTGTCTATCATGGATGAAAATTCAGAGACTGAGAGAGGTCCCTCATAAGTGAAAAAAGCTGCCATTACATTCATCTTAAAAAAATGCAAGAAGACACAGGGAACTGTAGAACAATTAGCACCATTTCATTCCAAGGATCACAGGGCATATCCTCTCAGAATCAAATTCCAAATATATGAACGACAAAAAGATAAACAGGAATAGTCAAAGTGGATCTATCAAGGGCAAATCATGACTGACCAACCCAATTGCCTGCAGTCGTGAAACTACCAGGTCTGTGGACAAATGGAGACCAGTGTGTGGAATATCCCCTGACACTACTCTTGATGCTGTCTTGCACAGTACTCTCATTTGGAAGTTGAGGAAGCACAGTCTAGAAGAAAAGATGGCTAGAGTGAAGATTTTCTAAGTCACCAGCCTTAAAGGGCATGGATGTATGGCTTCATGTTTGGCTAGTTGCTGACAGTGGCCAAAGTACCACAAGGCTGCAGTACTGCGTGGCACACTGCTAAGAAAACCTTAATTAATGACAGATAGATGATGGCACAAGGTGTACCCTATTCAAATCTGTGGATGACACTGAATTAGGGACAGTGACTGTAAGCAAGCAGCAGTACAGAGAAACCTTGATAAACTTTACAACTGGACCAACAGAAGCCTAATGAAGTTCAGCAAGAATTGGAAAGTTCTACATCTGTCATGGAAACACCCCCTAGCTTGCAGAGATTGACACAAAATCTGCCATCAGTTAGCAGAATGGGCCAGCTGCTCCCTAACTGAAAGGGAGCCAAGGGCAACAATAGAGCAGGGCAGGGCAGGGCAGGGGTCCTGCCAACATCACACTACCCTGAAGTACCTGAGTGAGTTGAGCAGGGCAAGACCGTAAATGGTAGCCAAGTTTAATCAAGGAGTTCACATCATATGACAAGTTCATGGTGATGAGGTATGTCTAAGGTCAAGCCAGGAAGCCAGACCATATGTCACGTGAGGGTACCACTGGTGAGTGAGCCAGTATCAGACACAGCCCATCGATCACTGGTCAGGTCTGCAGTGGCAGAGTAAGGCCACAACCAAGACGGGAAGTCAATCTGTTGGTCAGGATCTGGATCAGTGAGTGCTAGTGCCTGGCTTAGGCCTATACATTTCTGGAGACCAGCATGTCTAAGAATTGTTGGGAAAGGAACTGAGAGCTTCAGGAGGAAATGAAATGAGGTTTCTAGGATATAGGAAGGGGGGGGAGGTGGGTGGGCAGGGCCATTAAGGCCTGTTGGTGCCACTAGGACTATGATACTAACTGAGTAGCACCTGTGATGGAAAGTCCCTTGGGATTTATGGTGAATGTGATCTTGAATTCAAGACAACAGTGTAAATCTCACTGCAAATGAAGAAAACTTCACATTGGAACACACAGGTGAAGCACAGCAAGCAGAAATTACTACCTCTCCTCCTCTCAGCACTGGTGAGGTCGTATTGATGTATACTGTACAGTTCTGGAACGGTACTTCCCCACACAGTTAAAGGCAGTAAATGCAAGAGGGCTCAACAAAAGCCTATTAACATTGTCCAGGGCATTCTGCACATGACTTGTTCAGAGTGCTTCAGGATTCTGGTCTTACCTAGCCTGGTGAAGTGGAAGACTATGTCATTACAAAGGTAGTGGATCTAAACATTTCTTGGTAGTGTCAGATGATAAAACAAGAATCATTGGTTTGGGTGATTCAGGTTTGGCATGAGGAAAATGTTCTTCACTGGAAAGACAGACCAGCAGTGGAATTGGCTACACAGACAGGTTGTGGATTCTCCATTGGAGCTTTCTGAGATTCAATTAGACAATAATTAAAGCAGAGGACAGAGAGGACAAGCGTGAAATCCTATTTTCACAGAACATTCTTTCAGCTTCCAGAGTCTATGGCTCATCAAGTTAAATAGTTAAAAACAATTCATAGGATCAGACAATAAGCTACAAACAATTCAAGACATAAAATGTTATGTAAAAGATGCAGTTTGAAGGTCTTTGATCAATTCAAATTGGAAGAGAAAACACTGATTAAAATTCCCGATCTTAAATTGAAGGAATTCACAAGAATTTTTTGCTTGGGCAGTGGAATGCACTTACACTATACTAGATTTCCAAAACATATGGATATGGAAGTATAAGAGAATTCAGCCAGCTCTTAGCTGACAGATATTTGACAAATGGGCTGCTTCATGCAAACTACAAGCAACATGAACTGGGTTCAAGTATAATCTGTCCCTTGGGGATGAAGTAAATTCACCTCTCTGAATTCTCTGATTGTTTATCTATAAATCATGTGTCTGGTCTGGCAAAGCATGTAGCTCCCTATACAGTCAAGGAAAATACAGTCAGAGGTATGACACCTTCTGGAAGTACATGTCTCTTTTTCAGGATCATGAGGTCAGATGTACAGTTTGAATTAGACATTTTATTTCTAAATATTAAGTGAAACAGTATCAAGCTTAATGCCCAGTGCAGTCTTCTCTTAAGATAAAGACTTAAATGCCGCCTCTAAAAACACAGAAATGCTATATTTAGGATTTTTTTTTTTTTTTTTTTTTTTTGAGAAAAAATAGTTCTTCCCATTATTAGATAACACGGGCTAAATTTATCACTGGCATCAGCAATTCCACTCACTTAAAAACTAATGAGCTTTTTCTGGCTACAAATGCAAAGTAAGGTATAGTTACCATGGTCTGTCTTTACAAGAAAAAAAGTCAACTAGGAGTGTCTATCAAGACTTTCCCTTCATACCTCCTGAAGTTCATTATTACATTAAACTCTATGGAGAACTAAGGGAAGCCTTGGCAAGAGTATTTTCTGGTCTGTAAGTTCTCTTTCACTTTATATCTCTTCCAATTCTGGTAACTTTAGAACTTGTTAGTCCAGTGCCAATTAAATTTGAGAAACAAGCAAACCTCTGAAGTTATTATAACCTGATAGAAACATGGAAGATTTGTAGAGGCTACTCATTTTCCCAGAGATACCTCTGGCACAAGATATCAAAGAACACACTATGGAAGAAAATCCATAGGAATACAGGCTGCAATGTCTCTTCTGATGTGGAACTATTCACTCTGTTTAATTTTAGCAACCAAGGTAATTACAAATCATCTTGTACAGCCTTGTTCATCTAAGCAGGGAGATGATACTCTAAATGAAAAATCTGGATAATCAAAGAGACTATGCAAGACAAAGCTTTTGGCTCATACTATTGGAACAGGAGCCTGTTCATAGAAGGGGCCTCTACATCTACACCCTCTCCATAAAAACAAACTAATGCTCAAAACAGCTTTATTAACTTTTATGACATTTGGCTTCAAGGGCACTCTATCATTTTCTATACCCGACATATTATTCAGTGTTCCCAGGAACAGTGAGGACTAGAAAGAAGGAGTACATACTGTTCATAATTAAACCGTACGATAACTTACTTCTGCAAGTTCTTTTGTCTGGATTTAAAATGAACCCTGGGTGGCATCTACAGTAATAAGAGTCCTCTGTGTTAACACATTCATGTTGGCAACCTTGATTATCCACAGCACAGTAGTCTACAACTGAAAAAGAACAAGAGTAACATGTATAATTAGAAATACAAAATCAGAACTATTACACATACAGATTATATACTAGTTACAGTAGCTACAAGAGAAGGAAAAGCTGACATAATTTTTGTCCAAAAGAACCTTTCTGCAAAAAGCAGTGCACTTCAAATTAGATTTCATATGAGTCCTACATTATTTCTCCTACTTTCTGAACATTTATCAACTCTATCAGGAACTTTCTCACTGTGTTTTCTCAAATCTGGAAACCATGCTTCGCTCATTAACTCTGTCCAGATCTTCATACTGTAGACCAGGAAGTTGCAGAATTTATTTGATTTAGTTTTGTCTTCTGTCTGTCCAGATCCAGCCCTGGAATTGCTCTGGTTTTCTTTAATTCTTTCCTAGCTGTATTAGTTATCAAGACCTGTCCCGGCAGCCTGGATATATGAGAGACTGATAACAATACCTTCTACTTTGCTCCAGAGTCATCCTGTAAAATCAGGCACAACTATGAAGCCTGAGAGCTTCAGTTGATTTTCACTGCAATTTTGCTTATACAATGCCCTTTGTGGGAAAGAAATAAAACACTGTTATTCTAGTCACATATTTTTTCAGTCTGGTCATCTATTACACAAATGCATATTCGCAAGACAGATTGCCAAAAGGGTACTAACGTAATACTTCAGAGTTTACTCAGACACTCTCATTTGAAAGCACTAAGGAAGTAAAATTAATTTTGTTATTTTATTTTTTTACAGGTTAAGCTGTTTCCTTACACAGAAGGCCCTAGAAGAAATCAAAGACAACTCACAAAGCAGGTGTCCTGCCCCCAAAGGCTGCCAGGCCCACTTTAGACAAGTTTACTCGATTCCTAATGTATCTAACTTCACACAGATGTTTATTGAGACAGTTTCCCCATCTTTGCCAACTGAGTAATATTTTTTATGACTCTATATACTGCTGACCCTCCCAAACTATTTCTAAGAGTGAGTAGTTTGTTTTAATTAAATATTTTTTTTCTCTGTAATAGACCTCTCTCTGCAAACAATGCACACTCAGGTATGCTAAGACTGAAGGCCATCTAGTCACGAAAGTAAATAACCTAGTTAATTACATAGAAGGAGCTTCTTTAAAGCCTTGTGCTGAATTAAGCCAAATTAGATTACTTACTGGCTACCACGTGAAAATGTTTTCCTGGCAAGTACCTTCCTGTTTCCACACCAAATAGCTTCATATAAAAACATATTTGTTGAATATCTATTACAAGGATCTAAAGTGTTACATAATTAGTCAGATTTCCTCTTAAATTCTAACCAAGTGCACATTTTCAAGTGTTTTAGAAGACACATTAGCAAATAAGTACACAAAAGAATATGCAACTTTCTTTCCATACATCATCACCCCTAAGAAACAGCCCATATAAATCGCTTCCTCCTTTGCATTTAAACTTTAGTGAACATGCAGTTCTACCAAAAGACCTGTAACTGCCCAACTAATGATCTGAAGTTGAGAGACAACTAAATAGGTCAACTAGTCTTAGAATCCTTCATGAGCTACACTGTTTTTGGAGATGTATTTATGTTTCCACTCCCTCCCTAAGCCCTTATTCCACGCAGGCTTGGCCTTGCAAACTGGCATTAGTAATCAGCCTACAATTTAATTTCACTTTCAGCTTTACATTTCATTTTGGTGGCATTTGCTTAGAAGTGAAACTTGCCAACAGCCTGTCAATTAGCGAGTAAGTTGCCAGTGGATTCATATCTTCCTTAAAAAAATTGGGAAGAATTATAAACTTACATATCGCACAATGAAGCTCTGTAATCTACTGTGAATATACAAAATCTATATAAGACCAACGCAGAATGATATTTTCCTCATTTTTGTTAAGTTTCATTATTTTCTCTTTTCTGTACTGTCAAGATATTGTAACCAGAATGTTAACACAATGTTAATCATGACTACTTCAGTATTATCTTTTTCTAAAAGAATGACAAAGCTATTTTGCACAAGCAAGCAATGAATCCAGTCGTCATCTCCCCTGATTTGCTCCACCATGTTTTTCTTGCTTAGAAGTGGTTACCAAGATGGTGAGAGCTGTCTTTCACTTCCAGTTACCAGTTCTGCACTCTGGCTGCCCATGCTGCCCTCTCCAATCTGCAGGCAGCACAGATCACCCTTCTCTGGTATTGCTGCATTACTGCTAATGTCTACATACGTTTTTCAGTCTTAAGAGAATGAAATATGTTAGGGAAAAGGATAGAATAAAGCCTAGGAAGAAATGGTAACATTAAGTTAGAAGAATGAAAAATAAAGTGAGGAAGGAGAAGAGGAGACAAATGGAAGATCAGTTAACACCTAGAAACAAGCCAAAAAAAGCATCAGTGCCAGGAGTGTAGACAGGTGCCAGCAGCCAAATCACTGCCAGGTGAAGAGAGCCCGAGCCCAACAGCTGCAGCAGCATTGCAGACAGCCCACCGGTGCCAGGAAAAGACAGCAACACCAAGAAGATGGAGAGAGTGAGACTAAGACTGAGAAGACTGCCTGCTCAGCAGCATAACGGAGGAAGTAGGGGTCATCACCACCACACTTGAACTGACAAGATTTTGATCATATAAAAGACAGTTAATGTGAAAAGCTATTTAAAAAGGCAGACGATGGTGCTCTACTAGCCACAATTACTGCTGAAAATACTGCTTAATCTACACATTTTTCATAAACTTGCTTGTCCATTCAGTGATCACTTTAACTGGATGCATTGTGAGATGCTCTTGTGAGATTTTATTTAATTATTGCCATCCAGGTAAATGGCTGACAGCTTTGTCGATAAAACAATTAACATGGCCTTTGGTCCTTAAATAGAAAAATGAGCCCCTCAGGGAGCAGGAAGAGAACAAAATAGTAATAACAGCTCATGACACTAAGTATGAATATGTCAGATGAAAATATATGGTAAAAAGAACCAGGGATACAAGAACCTGCCAAGACAAGTCACGAATTTTCTCTCTCAGATTGTATTTACATCAACAGCAGAGAAATGTCTGACCTTTACACAAGTGAAAGGCAGGAGGATTAGCTAAGATTACTGGATGAACGTCTGTGGACGTAACAACTAACAGGTCTTCTTGTCCAAATATCCATAGCTGCATTTTCAAAACATTTCAATTTCAGAAAGCAGGTACTTAAAATGTTATATTAGTGTTCAAATTATGCTAAGGTTAAATTATGTGAAAACATGTAAACACTCATGCAATGAGAAAATGAAGCCACGCGTAAGGAAAAGATTTCAGGAGATTAAAGTAGAGTTGATTTTCTCACATTACTCTACGAAATTATGTTATTCTAAGTCTAAAAAAAAATCAAAACCTCATTTTTGTGTCCCAAGTGAACATGCAGTGGAATTTTCAATTTCATACATAAATTCTATCTATTTTGCACATCAAAATAGGATTATTCTGCAAGATAATCACTCTATGAAGGTAATAAAAGAGAGACTGTATTACATTAGAGTTCTTAAAAAAAGCAACCAAACAAGAAAGTGTAAATTGTTGGAAGCTGATTTTCCTGGTAATTTGTAGTGGCCTGTGGCAAAACTTGGGGCCAAGCATTCAACTTGGATTTACTTCCATGGAAACTCAGCATATGCTTGAAATTAAGCACGAATTTAAGTGCTTGCCTGAAGAGAATACCTAACAAATGAAACATTTTTTCTTTAAAGACTCTCTAGGTTATTATGTATGAGTGCATGTTTGTGTACATGAGTGTGAGTGCGTGCATTTGATTCTAGAAGATAATATTTTCCTGAAATGTGTGGGATGAAATGTTTATGAGAAGGGTGACAGCCTAGTATTTTAAAAATATTTACTGTGTATTAATGAGGAAAGAGTAAGAAGTGAGATACATATATAGTAATAATGTTTTCCTTGAAAAATTGTTATATTACATATCAGGTCAGTACAATGTTGGCCACCTGCATGGATATACAATAAAACATTAGGTACATAGTTTCAAGTCAATAATGTTACTTGCTGTGCAAAATTATAAGCAAAGACTTAAAAACATGTCAACATATATTTTTCTGTATTTATCACTTGTGAGAGAGGAGAGCTTCCCATCATTATTAGGTCTAAACTGGTCATTACTTTATATTCGACTTCTTTTTGGTTTGTTTCAAGAGATAAACACAAATGGCTAAGCTCATACTCACCAACACAACTCTTTCCATCTGCATCAAGCTCATACCCTTCATAACACTGACAGACATAAGACCCAGGCGTGTTCACACAAATCTGCTCACAGTTATGCTTCTCCACAGCGCAAAGGTCTTGAGCTACAAGGCAGAATGGCACAAATATGAAGTTCTTTGACCTTCTGTATTGCACAGGTTGACTATAGATTGAAAAGAAATTTCAGGAAGCTATGAAGAGCTCTTTAACTTGAGCTCATTTTAGCACAAAACATGCCAATATTTTGTCAAATAGAAAAACTCTTACACCAGTGAGAACAACCACTCAAAGCTGAGGAGCTCATTCCTTTAGCTGAAGGCAACAATTACTGGGACACTGGTACTTAGTAGATTTGCTTGAATGTACATTCCTCCATTTTTACATACATTCCTTCATTTTTATTGGAAAGTAATTTTGGTATTTGCGTCTTTTTTTTTTTTTCTCGTTTGTTTTCAACTCCCCAATAAGTAATGAGGACGGAAAAGGAAAGAAAATGAAAATAAAGCAAAAGATTCATGAACATTTAATTTCTGAATTTTATCATTATTTTGTTTCATGCAAAATACTGTAACAAGTAGCCCCTCCCAAGCAACAAGTCTCATTAGAAAAATTACTACAGCAAATGAGGTCAATTCAGTTCCTGGTGTAATGAAGCACATTTGTCTGTCTTTAACACAGACCAAAAAGAGTCACTTTCTGAGAATCCCAAATTTCACCAGTGAAATCCCTGGAAGGCAGAGTACTTTGTGTTGCTCAGGATCAGGCCTGGAAACTGCTCAACACATAATTATAATTTACAGCTACAAAAAAAAAAACATGTTCTGGAATATGTTTAAGGACACTAGCCAAACACTAATTTTATTTTATAGCTCTCTACTTCATATCATGTGGCATGATGAACAGCATAAACAGTAATTTAACTCTCTTGTTCCAATATAAACATCCAAAAATAAGTAATTTTTTTCAGTCATATATGCTCTTTTGTACTATTTTGTGTATTAACGTAAGATTTGAGCGTAACTACAGAAGAATGAAAGAGATGCAACAAAACAAGCAGTGCAATGAGCATAGAACAGCCATTATCTGCCACAGCCACTTTTCCCTAGAAAAGTTAGATCAGATTTGGTGAAAGGAGCAAACAAGAGGTTTTCATCCTTGCATGAATACAAAACCACCTCAACGATTTCCATCTTTTGCATGGATGCAAAACCATCTAAATGACATAAATGCAAAAATATTTTATGTTGAACAAAGGAACATTTTTTTCCGGATTTTGTTCTGGAAGATAGGTGAGTTGAATTTTTTTCCTTTCATGTGGAATGTCACAAATCACAAATACAGCACTTTTTTTTCCGTCATAGAATCATGGAATCACAAGGTTGGAAAGGACCCACAAGACCATCTAGTCCAACTGCCTTCCCATTCCTATTAGTACCACAAGCACTAACCCATATCTCGTAGCTCCTCATCCAGACACCTCTCGAACACTGCCAGGGACAGTGACTCCACCACCTTCCTGGGCAGCCATTCCAGTGCCTGACCACTCTCTGAGAGAAAAAGTTTTTCCTTATGTCTAATCTAAACCTCTTCTGGTACAACTTGCGGCCATTTCCTCAGGTCCGGTTTGTGGCCTGGGAAAAGAGGCCAAACCGCACCTCATCACAGCCTCCCTTCAGGAAGCTATAGAGTGCAATGAGGTCTCCCCTGAGCCTCCTCTTCTCCAGACTAAACAATCCCAGCTCCCTCAGCTGCTTCTCATAAGACTTGTGCTCCAGACCCTCACCAGTTTCAATGCCCTTCTCTGGACACGTTCCAGGGCCTCAATGTCTTTCTTGTAGCGAGGGACCCAAAACTGAACACAGTACTCGAGGTGCAGCCTCACTACTGCTGAATACGAGGGGAAGGACTTCCATGCAGAACTGAAATGCATTAAGTAACAAAACTACCATCCACTCAAAAGAGGAACACCCTTTTCCAGCCCGGAGCAAAGCTGTTAATTCACTGCTGATTTAAGTCATTTGGCTAAGGGCTTTTAAGAACTGAACATGACATGCTGTACTCTCACAACATAAGAAAGAGTTCCAAAAGTTGAAAAGAATATATATTTATGTTCATGCAGTTCATTTTTTATTCACTGTTTAATTTAAAAAGTATTAAAATATACATGTGAGGAAACAGTTCATGAATGAGCTAAGAAGTACACTCAAAACTTAGATAAATATATCTGTTTTATGTTGATCATGTACTGCACTAAACATCAATATAATGTAGATTTATTTTACTTAGAGGTCAAGTGAAAACATGTTGTCCCTGTGCACGGGTGAAAAATAACTATGAAAGTAACTAACATGGTCACAGACTTCGGGTTCTTATATCACTACTCCTCACCCTCACTCCACAAATAAGCAGTCCAGTTTGTCCAGCTTTGGTCCCCTTTACTCATGAATTCTGTTACTTCCCTGAACTTTTATACTGTTTTAATTAATATAAACTATTTATATAATTTATAATCTAATCTTAGATTTTGAGTGCAATTGTCAAAACTAGTTTATAGTTTGGTAATGTAGAAAAGTAGCTACAAATACATGGAATGACTTGTGTCCCTTCCATATTTAGCAAACTCAGATCTACTACCATCTGGTTGATGATCAAAACAAGTACATAGTCAAGCATATCATGCGTGATAGATAAATAGGGAAAACTGTGTCATAACGAAATTTTTTTAAAAAGAAAAGTAAAGCAGTGAGTTTTAAAAGTTGTAGAGAAGCAACGCATACTACCATGCACAGGCCATCAGGAGGAAAACTCCACACAATTCCAAAATTGTCTTGGAAATTTATCTGTAATTCGCAGCAGTGCAGCGACCATAAGCTGAACTACTGGCTAAAAAAAAACAATGAAAATATAACACAATACAACAGAAGACACAATAAATTATTTTTCATGCTTGCAATTAAAATTTTCTTTATTTTGTACTCTTAGTTGAACCAAATTTATTTTCCAGTTTTAGCAGTATTATTCTCCAAATTCAATTGTCCAAACTGATGCTAGGGGTGAGGACAGAAAAAAACGTGTAAGAAGAAATTTTAAGAAAGGAGAGATTTTGTATTTTAAGTAAATTCCAGAACAATGCTGAAAGAAAAAGAATTCTTCCTTTTTTTTTTATCGGTACTAGGAAATCTAGAACACAAAAGGAGTTCAAATCAAAGGTTTTAAAAATACAAAACTCTGCAATGAGAAGCATTTTAAAAGGGGAAAAACAGAAAGAAGTAGTTAGGAAATATTACTGAAATATGATTGAAGAGTTGGAGCCTTCATTTGGGATTCCAACCACTCATTTTGGAAGCACAAACACATGGAAGCATAGAGAATAGGCTGTGTAAAAACTGTTCTTGTCACTATTCTTGTCTTGGCTCAGCTGCTAAACCAAGCAATAATTAGAAAATATTTCAAATTACATCATTACATTGCTTCTTCTTAAGAAACAAAAGCCTGAATAAACATACAAATAAATGTCGAATAAATTGTTGAAAACACTAAACATAATTCAGACAGCTGCGTACGACAAATATCTACATTTGATAAGGGATGCTGGTGAGAAGGGCAAATAAAACAATCATTCCTCAAAATAGCTCATCCCCCGGCTCAACACTATAATAGGTGAACAATTCAAAAGCAATTTCCTCCTACAACCCAAAGAATCTGAACATGTCTCCATACCCAAAGAATCTGAACATGTCTCCATACACCAGCAAAAATCACCATACAGTTCCAGCACTGACATCTTCTGGACCCCATATCTAGTTGCTGAGGCTCTGACTAAAACTCTGTCCCACTACAGAAGTAAGAGTCCTAATACTCAATCTGCGGAGTCCTCTCAGATACTGACATATTCCCATTGTTTCAATCATCAAAGAGGAGACAAACAACACCTTAATCCCAAACTACTTGATTAAGATGTTGATCATACAAGGGCAGGATCTGAGCCTGCATCCTTCCCCTCATGTCTAAATCACATATTGTGAGGGGGACATCCATTGTCCTCACCATGATAGCTTTCTCCATCTCTTTCAAAAGACATTTTTCAAAATAATTCTTGCAACTAAAATCAGTTTGGCAAATTTGGTTTGAACCCATGGAGTTTTGTGGGGTAAGGAACTGCATTTTTAGCAAGTGTATTTTTCACAAGTGATAAAACTTATTACCTCACAACTAATTCAAAATAATTGTGGATAGAGAAATAAATTTGGCATGTCTTTCTTATGTATTCTGCTGTTAATTATGAGGATGCAAGACAAAATGGACAAAAGAAATACTGCTTAGTATTAGATCACAATTAAACTGAAATATGTTATTATGAACTATATAGTTAAAGCCAATTGCTTAAAAAAAAAAATATATATAGAACAAATGAGAGCACAACAAAGACTTTTGAAACTCTCTTCTGAAAGATTTTAAGGTTATATTTCATGCAGAGTTCAGAAAGTTTTCCAGAATGGCAAGTTACGTCCCAGTTTTGTAGTATGTGGTTTATTGTGCCTTACTGTGCCACTTAGGAAAAGCAACCAGTAGGCTGCTATCTAGACAGGTTACTAAATTAGTTGTGATCATTTAATATGAGATGATGAAACAGTTCTTTCTTGATCGTTGTTTCATTCTTGAACTTATTACATCAATAAAATTCAAATGCAACTTTATGTAGCTGCAGTGTACTACTGCTTGATAATTCGCTTGATGTATTTCACAACGGCTTACAAGAACTTCATAAAAAAAACCCACAAAATACAACTTCACTTTTTTAGACTCTTCGTGATTACCATTAATTACATAATGAGTTCAGTTCTTCTTTATGAACCCAACTCAAACCACTGACGTTAAGTGCTTCTGAGTGACACAAGAAAGAATAGTTTAGAAAGATAACATACTGCTGCAAGTCTTCTGGTCAGCGTTCAGGATGTAACCTTGCTTACATCTGCATACATAGGAGCCTGGGGTATTTATGCAGAAATGATCACAGCGATGCTCAGCTATACTGCACATATGGGGCACTGAAAGAAAAAAGTAAGAGGTTATTAATCACTGGACTTGCTTATTTGTTGTCACAATTCAATAATAAATGGTTTAAAATACTTCACTGAAGTCATTTAAAAAAACTGAGTTAAATTTCAACAGTCAAGACAAAAATGGAAGCTTACGCCTACAGCTTAGTATAAAAAAAAACCCTTACCAAACAGAATTATACTTTTATTCTTAAAAAAAATAGGAGTTTATATATAATCTGTCTGGTAGACAATAGTGACATCATTTTGGACACAAAATTATTTACAGAAGAGAGATATAAACAACAACAAAAAATTACAATAGAGCATCTGGAAGCACTAATTACTTATTGGTTCCATGAAAACAATGAAACAGGCACCACATTCAAATTTAGAAATAACAGTAATTTAATTACAAATTGTTCTAGAGAACATTTAATTTCCTGAATGAAGTACCCTACAGCTCAACACTAGTACAGAACGATTGGAAAAAAAATACCTGATGAAGAATCTTGTTTGCCAGTTTATTAATTTTGAGGAATGTCTGGACAAGATATAACTACAGTGAAGTCAAGCATCTCCAAAACTTGATAAGAGGAAGCTGAGCTGAGCTACACCCCAGAGTATAACAGTTCCTGAGCCTATTTTTTTTTAATCTGCTCACATTTTATGTCTCTAATAGCAAATAGTAAAATGCAACAGACTGTGACAGGAAGAAAAAAAAAGCAGACCTATTCTGCCAAATTCATTACCTAGCTATTTTTTTTCCCATATCAGATTTTCTGTGGGGAAGTAATGAATCTCAATGACTTTTTTCTTACACTAGAGCACTGTGGGTATGTCATTCCTATAATATACAGGTGAATTGTTCTCAGAGAATAATGTGTGGAAAATAATCTGTTTTTCTCAAAGACAATTAGGGACTGATGTGCTCATTATGCTGCTAGGTTGGCAAACATCAAAATTTATGGAATAGATATTCAACAGTAATTTTCTAGCAGCCACCATAAAAGCCTAATAAATAACTTCACATGTAGTAGGCATGGAACATCTGCGAGAAAAAAAAAAAGAGTTTTTGCAATACATGCTATTTATTGTGTCTTTGGAACATTTACCAAAGTTATGCATTTATTGCTAATACAGAAACCACCACAATTCCCAACTCTCTTAATCAGCTTTTTTGAACTCATTGTCTGCCATAACAAAACATCTCAAGTGCTTTTATCTGTATGAATGCACACCTACTGGTATTACTGGTCTATTCATTCTTCTGCCTTTCTAAAAGTAAAGTTCATGATCTCTGATAAACTCTGATGAGTTTCATCCTGGCTACATTTCACTACTTTGCAACATCAGGTACAATTTGTTATGACCAAAGAGGCACTTAAAATATGACAAATTAAAAACATAAAAATGTCAACAGTTTACATATCAAAAAATCTCACCATATTCCTCCGTAACATTTCTCCAAGAATAATCCTCCAAACACAGTCAGACCTCCAGTATCAAATCTTGTAAAGGGGAGGAAAAAAAAAAAAGCATCCCCAACAGCTGAGTTCATTCTGAGAATATATCACTGCTACTTGTTACTGACTTCACGTATCAATTACTTATTTTTTTTCTGTGGTGAAAGAGGCTGTTGTATGCTCAACTTCTGCCTGACTTGTAGGAGCTGTTTGGTGGACAAAGTCAGGGACTGAAATAATAGAAAGAATTGCATGGATTTGGAATTTGAATGTGAGCCTTGTGAATTAGATTTTATCCCAAACTTTGCCATGGGTTCCCTATTTGACTTTAGACAAGTCAATAATATCAATATCTTCAAGGACACATCAATGTTCACACTCTGTTTTCAGCTAGAAATACTTGCAACTGGATTTGAAAGAATGCAGGGCTCTCAGTTGCAAGTGATGGGTATAAAGTTGTGGCGGATATATTCCATCATGCTAAAAATGCTCAGTGCTCCAGAAAATTGAGCGCACTCAAAGTTTTAAAGTTAGTGGACGATGCTGACAGTTTTAGCCCTGATTCTGTTTTTGTTCCTCAAGCATAAAATAAGGATGACACCACTGTCTATGTTAGGAGGATAAAAAAGACTACTTGCTTCTGACTGCTCCAGCCCAACTTCTTTGTCTTTCTTCTATTTGATCTCCATCTCCCTTCTTGGATTCTATCTCCAATTCCATTTCCTTTCTAGTTTTCATCTCGTCTCACTCCACTTGCTTCTGATTTCCCAAGACATTGCTTCCTCCTAATTTACCTTGCTGACTGGCAATAGAAAGAGGTCCATGGGATCCCCTGGCCTGAACTATTGTATCTGGCACAACTGAACCTTTAGAAGCCAGATGCAGAAATCACAGGGAAAGCCCACACAGTTTAAATGGATTCTTCTCAGAATTTAATTGCTAAGGACTGGGAAATCCCTGATATCCACAGGGTAACAATGGCTAATTCATTTTACTTTTTACCTTGCCCACACAGCTTCATCATTTGGCAAAATTCTTCTCTTAACTTCATAGGAACTGTGAATACACAGACACAAGGACTGTCCAAACACAACTGAAGAGTCCAGTTATTTTCCCAAGGCATGAAGCCTAGCAGATTGTGACCATAGGGGTGCCTTGAATTGATCCAGGAAAGAACTAAGGTGTCCAAGGTACAATGATAGTCCCTCTGGGATCACACTGGAGACAATTTTCTCTTAATGGCAAGTTGAATCTAGTCAGCAGAGTGCCCCAGCAGCCCTACAGGACGAACTGTACCCTGGGGTGCACCAGCCAAGCACAGCCAGCAGGTGAGGGGAGAGCTTGTCCCATTCTGCTCTTTGCTGTGCAGCCTCATCTCGAGCACTGGGTGCGGGTTTGGGTGCCAAGATACAAAAAGGTCATAAAACCAATAGAGAGCACCCAAAGGAGGGCAGTGAAGATAGGGAAGGCAGGACATACAAGGAGCGCTAAGGCCGCTGTGTTTGTGCAGCCCAGAGCAGAGGAGCTGAGGGGAGGCCTGATGGCGGCTGCAGCTCCTCACAGGGAGCGGAGGGGCAGCGCTGAGCTCTGCTCTGTGTGACAGCGACAGGGCCCGAGGGAACGGCATGGAGCTGCGGCAGGGGAGGGGCGGGTTATATGATAGGAAAAGGTTCTTCACCAGAGGGAGGCGGACACTGAAACAGGCTTCCCAGGGCTGCAGGGCAAGTCCCGTGCTGCTGGACTTCAAGAAGTGTGTGGACAACACTCTCCTTTTAGTCAAATGTTTGAATTCTGGGTGGAGCTGGGTGAAGCAAGAGATGGACTTCACAATCCTTGTGGGTTCCTTCCAACTTGGGATATTCCATGATTCTATGAAATTCAGCAAGCTGAGCACCTCTTCACGGCCCATACTCAACAAAACATTACAGATCCTATCTAACATGTAGTCCTTTAAGTTGAAATCCACAGAATGCTGGCACCTTAAGTTCTTTTTTGAACTTGTCTTGGATTTGTAAGTGGTTGTTTTGTATCTCACCTTCAGTTCTTGAAACAGCAAATGTTGTGGAGGCATTCCCTTAGAAAGGGAGGCAGCAGCAATCCTTGTGACCTCCATACTCCTCCATCTGCAGGGTGAATGGTTTTATTGAGGATCGTGTCTATTTGGATTAAAGGTGAACTACAAAACTTTAATACATTTACTGGGCACTGCTTAGTCAGGAAAAAAAAGGAGTAAATAATACTTGTACTGGATTTGTTTCTAAAATGCTATTAAAAATCCAATAAAATTGAATTTTATATCATTTGCTATCTGTTCCATTTAAGCTCTCAATTCATGCTTAGTTTACTTTTTTTTTTTTTTTTTTTTTTTTAATGTACATTATGCCAGCAAATAACATGGCAAGTTAAAAACAGGAAAAAAATCAATGATGTGATGATTGTCTCTGATGGTGTCTTATGCTGATGCAGTTCAGCTGGAGCTCTGTTGCTCTTTGAAACACTTCTGGAAAATACCACGTAAGGAAAATTCTCCAGGCTATCTTGACAATAAGCCTCAGTTCTTTCCTGGCAAACGCATCCCTAGAGATGATTGAGCATTCAATATCATCATGTATTCATTTTCTGGACTCTGCTGTAAATACTTCACTTTCATGCCAAATCTCTATGAAGATCCTTCAAACTTATCTCGGGAAAAACTAAAATTACATTAAGTACCCAGGCTGGAGTAAAATGAGTTATGCATGACACTGTATTTGTAAAGGGTAATTTTTTATCTGGGAATTACAGATGGAAATGATTTCTCTATTGTAAATTAATATCCATTAAAATATTATTTACTTTATGGAATGAATGAAAATCACGGTAAAGGCTTTTCCTAACTTTTTGTATTTAAAATGGATAGAATACAAATACTACCACATATTTGTATAGTTATGCCTCTTCCAGTCACAAGGCATTCTAAGAGATAATTGTCTGTATTTAGTTAATACAAAATTTGGGTGAGGAATACCCACAGAACCTTTTTAATAACAACCAACAGTAACTTTTATCAGTCTGAAGTTTCACTACTAAAGGAAATCACTTTCAAAATCAGTAGATTAAACAGCTTATCTAAAAAAGCAATGAATAGGAAAATCATGTATGTGTGTTTGCCTTGCTGCTTATGATCACTAGGAATTATATTTTATGGCACTGAGCAGTAGAAGAAGCCTTTCCCCATATGTATAATTGTTGTTCTGAATACTGTTTGGCTAGTTTCTCTTTTTTTTTTTCAGTGTACATATTCTAGCAGATTAGGTTCCATATTAAAAAAAAAAACTAATGACAATACATGAGGTTTTTTTTTTTCCCCATGTTTTACTTTCATCTATGCATTCAAGCCAATATATAAAAACCTTACCACAAAGTTTAGTCTGGAAGACAGAGGTGAGCGTTTCAATCTGACTGAAATTAGCAACTAGAAAGATGTGCTCTTCATGTGGTTCACTCCCAATGGACTTGAGTGTGTTCATATCCACTCTTCCCACTCCAATGGCGAAAATCAGAATTCCAGAGTTGCGAGCTTTAGCAGCAATTTCTGCCACCGGATCCTGTGGTCTCCCATCTGTCACTATCATGATAACGCGAGGCACATTTTGGTTCAGAGGCCGAGCTCCTTCTGACTCTGAAAATGCAATGTTCACAGCATACTGGATAGCCAGTCCAGTCATGGTGCCGGTCGCCAGGTGCATCATTCTCCTCACTGCTCTCTCAATCTCCTGTTTCCTCCTAAACGTCTTCAGAGAGAACTCATGTTTGACAGTGCTGCCGTACTGAATCAGGCCTACTCGAGTGGCATCAGGACTGATGTCCAGGAATTGCAAGATTGTTAAAATGAACTCTTTCACTTTTTCAAAGTCATAAGGACGTACGCTGCGAGAACTATCAATGATGAAGACAAGGTCCAGACGTTTGTTGTTGCAAGTACTTTCTAAAAGACAAAATGAAACAAAAATACAAGAATTTTTAAATGCAGATAGGATTGCTTTGATCTAAAGTGTCATAAATTGTCCCTCTCTACTCTGCCCTTATGAGGCTTCAACTGAAGTACTGAGTGCAGGTCTGGAGCCCCCAACACTGAAAAGATACTGAGTTTTTCAGAAGGGCCCAGAGGAGGACCAGAAAGATGATCATAGGGCTGGCACACCTCTCCTATGAAGACAGGCTGAGAGAGCTGGGCTCGTACACTGGAGAAAAAGCTACGAGGAGACCTCATGATGGCCCTCCAACATTTAAAGGGACATTATAAACAAGAGGGAAATCAACTTTTTACATGGGTAGATAATAATAGGACAAGGGGAAAGGGTTTTAAACTACAGGAGGGAAGATTTATGTTAGATGTCAAGGGGAAGTATTTCACTGAGAGGGTGGTGAGGTGCTGAAATACACTGCCCAGAAATGTTGTGGATGCCCCATCCCTACAGGTGTTCAAAGCCAGGCGGGGTTCTGGGCAACCTGATCGAGTATTTGACCTAGCAGTTGGCAACCTGCAGCCAGGAGGTTGGAACCTGATGATCCTCGAGGTCTTTTCCAACTTCATTCTATGAAAGATGCTAAGTAAATACCCTGCCAGGAGTTGGAAACATACAGGAAAAAAAAAAAAAAAAAGTGCTATAACTAATGCTATTTGGGTAATCCAAATTTAGTTTCTAGTTAATAACAGTATCTGCCTGTTACATGATCAGTAGATTAGTTTTTTGTGAGATCAGTGCTCAGGATGGACACCGTTGAGATTCTGAACTCATACCCCACACATGATGGAAATCCTCTCTGAATAACATAGTTATTATTTTAGTGGGCTGCACCTTAATGCTTTTTGTTGTAGAGCCTGAGAATTCAGAAATCCTAATCAGATAACAGGTAGTACTAGTCTTTGTTACAAACAAGGAAACAGCCACAGAGAAATACAGGTCAAAAGTATCTGCTAATAGGAGTGACTGAGATACAAAGGAACTGATTTTTCATGGAACTTGGCATTAAAGAGCACTTTGCATGTACAGAGTACAGCTCTCAGTGACGTCAACTGCAGCTGTGAGTGCTCAGCACTTCTGCAAATCATACCCCATGATTTCAAACACATAATTAATGGCCATCTGGGAAAAGCCTCGTCTACTGGACTAGCTCAGCGTCATACAGAAATTCTGGGCCTGCATCACAGATAAAATCCACTTTTCTACAATGGCATTCAATTTGGAAAAAAAGACCACCCATACACTTCCTGTCATTTTCTCTTTCAGTTGTCAACATGGCTTTTTTTTTTTTTTCCCCAGGAGCCACAAATACCACAGTGTATGGCTGTATCTGACAACTGCATAGGCAGACAGACCAAGCTATCATGGGTAACAACAATCATGGCTGCTTTCTGGGCATGCTACAAGCTTTCAAAAGCCCTGGGTACTCTCACTGGCTCCTGCTCAGATTCCAATGCAGGCACATGAAAGTTGCATGATGAGAACAGATAAGGATTGACCATATGCTAATTTTGCCTATGCAGAAAGTCAGCACAGGTAGGCTTGAAGCAAGCAGGGGGATGTGAGCTCTAAACCTTGCTACAGAAGGCTGTATGGTAAAAGTTCAAAAGGAATATGAAGGACTTACTAGGATGCTGGTGATGAGAAATCAACTGAGGTTTCATGGAACAACTAAAGGTAGCAAGAATCCTCATCAAACTACAGTAGAAAGCTCCTCTCACTTAGCTGAGGTAACTCTAACCAGAAACCTCCCTTTCTGTACAACTCAATTAAGTTCCCAATGCACTCCAACAGGGCATTAAATCAGGCAAATGCCCTGTGGAAAAAGCAGTTGTTTGACTGTATAATTAAAGGTCATGTCATACAGCACAAGTACAAGTGGGCCAATCGAAGACTCGACTGGAACAGCATCTGTCTTCAGACAAGCCTTTACTTGCTTGTGACTGCTGATGAATGCTAACCATGTATTCCTGCCAAGGAAAGGGGTGAGAAGGATGCCTATTTTCACTTGTTAACTCAGAAGCCTCTTTCATGGATTACCAAGAAAGTCTGTAGGCATAGAATAAAAATGCTCTTTGCTGACAATAAAAATGACTGCCTGGATTTATTCATGTGCAGTCTACAGTATGGCTTTATTCATAAGCGTAGGAATATGCTCAAGTTGCTTATTCTTTCAAAATCAATGGATGTTGAGTGCAAGCCAAACTGAGCAGAATAAAACTCCAGTTCTAATGGGATACAGATATCCTGACACGCTGTCTTCCATCTTATGAGGTCAATTGTGTATCTAACTATTAATTACTCTTATTAATATTCCAGAACAATTATAATATAAAGATAACACTAAAATAAGATTTAAGAGAACAGAACAGAGTGAATAAGTTAATTACAGAAAGAAGTCTAAGTGTCTATGAAGGGAAAGACAGGGTAGGGAGAAGGGTAAAATCACTGCTATTTTACTTTCCATAAAACTGAGAGCCTTCCTGTTGAATACTTTTGAATTTCAGGGAGGATTTCTTATTTGAGTATATAGATTTGGATCCCACTCTGAGGAGACTCAATTCCTTATTTTGAAGTAGCCTATGAAAAAGGGAGGGAAGAAATCTGGATAGCATTACTGGACAGTGCTACAAGAAATAAAGCCCATTTTGCTAAATTACTTATGCAGAAGAATATAGTAAGTGGGTTGTTCTGAAAGTAATGCCTCATATTTAGTTCCACGGAAACTACAACAGAAGCAAACAGCACAATAACACAATTTAATAGAGCGAAGTCTCAACTACGAAACACTATTTTTCAACACAGACATGACCACTAGCCTTTCTATGCAGACGAGCTGATCAAGACGAACTTCATTTAGTGGTGTGATAGCTGTACATGGCCATCCAGAACATGGCTTGTTTTTCACACTGCTGTCACCACTGCTGAAACACACTGCCCACTGCCTCAGTGTGCCCACATCAACTTTTTGATCTTCTCAATAAATGTTCAGCAAATGGCAGTAAATGTCAATGAGTGCAATTTTTTTTTGTGCGAAGAGGAATTCAGTCACACACCTTTACTTCACACACAAGTCCACGTCAGACACCATTCCACCAGACTCCCCCTCTGCTGCCATCTGTCACACAGCAACAACATGGAACAGAATACAGGAGGCTTGAAGATCCAGGATTGGCCTCTAATGCCATACCAACATCTGCCTCTGATATTGTGGGTAGGCGGTATTACTTTCAGAGCAGTCCTTGTATATTTCTGAATTACTTTCGCTAGAAAAATCCCACCTATAGAAACGCCAAACATTTCAAAAAAAAATAAATCTTTAAAGTCTCTGTCTTGTTCTGGGTATTCTTAATAACCTTGTAATTATTAATGGTGATTCAGTCAACCCAGGTTCCATAAAACTCAGTGTAAATCTTTCACCAAGCAAAACTCCAGCTGGGTGGTACTCTGAGGAGTGGTGATCAGTAATGACTAACAGATGAACACTAACCCCCTCAGATAAACTTTCCATGCTACTTTTAAGAAGTTTAACAGATTTACACTTGCCCTCTAAACTATAACCTCTTCCTCCTACCAGTTCTTGTGTTTAAACAAAGAACTTTTTCACAACTTTGGCAAATGTCTTCAAATCCCAATGAGATGCCTTTCCACTCTCCTTATGAGAAGTGACGCATTCACTGAAAAGAGCTACTCATCCAGAAACCAACATCAAAGTCAGCAAAGATTTTGAGTTGACAACACACACACACAAAAGCCCTGAAAGTGTGAATTATATTATCCAAAACTTCAAGGCTTTTGGAAAGACAAGGCCAGCAAACTGAAGGCCAGGTCAAGAGTGAATGTGTTCTTCTCCACTCAATATCCAGTTTGTCTAGAAATGAGTTACTGTCACACCACCTCTGCAAAATGAACAATGGTTCTCACTTAATGAATCCAGCTGGGATCCAATCCAGTGGGAGGGAGTATTCCTGGGCATAAGAACTCAATCTTCTATGCTGCTGAAAGATTAGAATGGCTCCTGGTACTGTTTTGCCTAGGAGATTAACATTTTTTCAAATAATACTCAGGCATAATATGGGAATAAGCATGAGCCAGGATCCCATCCTAACAGGCAATATGGATGCAAGCACTCTGCAAGTTCAGTATACATCAATCAACAGTATCAGTGCAGGCTGTGTTATCTCACTGGTCTCAGTGCCAGAGAACAGTCTATGATACACATTAAGCTGCACTCACAGCATTAAATTCACTTTCCCACTACAGTAGAGTGGCCTCCTGGGAATAAGCCCTGATCCCCTATAACCTTTGCATCACACACGGGGATTGTGCTAATCAACATGCACCAGAGTCTGCTCTAGCAATTAAACAATAACAGTGGAACCCCAGTGCCCAGGAATGTCCCCAGCACTATTTTATTCATCAAACATTTCCATTTTGGGATATTCAAGCTGAATATATTCAAAGGACCCAAGTTTTAGATGATGATTTTTTAAAAGTTTTTTGCAGGCCAAATCCCTCAAAAAGTTTGTTTAGAATGGAATTACTTATTTCCTATTATTGTCCTATATCTTAATGATGCTATAACGCATTTTGTAATATGGATAAAAACTTATTTGATAATGTGGATCTTTATCCTAACAAATGAGATAGATAACTGTTAAAGACAGCTAGTGAGGCACACAAAGCAAAAGGAGGTTAGCTCCATTTGGTAAGTACTACAGCAATTTTAAGATATTTAGACAATAAAAAACTGATTTATAACTAAATACTCGTCCCACAAAGACTTTTGTTACAAACTAAGACAACTTAAGCAAAAAGGAAAGATGAGATCAGTTAAGAAAAAATGAGATCATAGAAAAGTTATTGCCTAAGTAGGCAATGCATTAATGACAATTTTAAGACTCAACATATTGTATCTACATCACCGCAGAGTGAGCTAAGAAATACAAAAATTACATGG